AAAATGTGATGTGTACTCATTTGGGGTTGTTTTATTTGAGGTGTTGTGTGCTAGGCCAGTCATTGACCTAAGATTGGACGAGTATGAACAACATCTAGTTTATTGGGTCCGTTGGTGCATAGGCAATGGAACCATTTATAATATAATTGATTCATATCTGAAGGGGAAGATAGCTCCAGAGTGTTTTAAGATATTCGTGGACATCGCTTATTGCTGTGTCAGTGAAAAGGAAGACACTCGGCCTGAGATGGGTGAAGTGGAGCTGATGCTAGAGCTTGCATTGAAGATGCAAGAGAAAGCAGATTCTGAAATGAAGGAAGTTGATCCTCATGGTGAATGTACGTATGGAGAAGTATCATTTTCTATCCCTGTTTCTGACCACAAGTTTCCTGTGGATAATAGTTCATCACTTGAATCTAGATGGTAGACTTAGATTTTTAGATCTTAGTTTAGATTACTTAACCACATATTTTTTTGTTTGTAATTAATCAAAACAAGTCAATTATGAATATAAATTTAATTAATGTCAGATTAAAATAAATCTTAATAATCCATATCTCTTTTGTTTTATGGGTATGCTAAGTGATGACATGAAGCATTCTTCAAGCTTGCTCTAGAAAAATACTACCACTAAAAATTGTGCCCCTTTTCTTGCTTATGAATGATGTATGAGGAGGCTAAGGCACGGATTGAAGAGCATAGGGTCTTGTTTTTGATAGAATATGATAGATTTTGTTATGGTATTTCATGCTTTCTAGAAATCAAGTGGGGATTTGCATGAAATTGCCCCCATTTTCTCTCAATGGATGCTTAGGCTCACTTTCATTCACCAAGGAGTTTCTGTCATCAACCAAATTGCAATCCTCACAAACAATCTATTTGAATCCTTTATCGTGTATACTCATAATGTCTATTTCAATCGGATGATGATATATTAAATCTACATCTTTATCTCACTCTTTTATCTTTCTTCTTAATCCTCTTTGACATAACTAACATAGTCGATAAATCTCACTCTGTTTGCTCTTATTTTATCTGTGTTTATAACTACCATAGTTTTCTTGCTTATTGGTGAAGTGTAAGGCCTATATTTTAATTGACATAAAGAATCAAGGTTCCACTTGTCTTGCCCAAGGAAAGATTAGGGCTACTGGCATTTGATGTCTTTGTTTTTGATGTTGAAACTTTCTTGAAAAGCAAGTGAGGGATTTTATGACAGCTTTGCACATTTTTAGATTTGGGGGTAGCAAAAAGGTTGTAATATAAATTTTTTTTAGTTGTGAAAATTGGAGACAATTGATAATAAATTTTGAGTCATATAAGTTGCGACCTTCTTTTAATTCAAGACAAGTTTTTCATTTTAACTAATTCTTTTTTGGGTTTATTATGATGCTCGAGAGGTCTCAGATGTTTATGTTTCTTATCTTTTTATATGGTAATCATTTGACTTAATAATAATGCATGTATTTTCAATTTAAAAGCTAAATTTGAATCTCCTTTCTTAGGCCTCTATATATATAATCATAATGTTCATGAGCTTTAATTTTTTATATTGTAAAAGGGTTGGGTAATATACTTCTCAAATTAATTTTTTTTATCAATTTCACATTTGGAATTCTATTTTAACTTATGGATTATTATTTTATACATCAATGATGGAGTTTTTTAATTCTACAAGGAAGTTTATAAGATTGTCTTGTGTTGGCTATTTAATAACTTAATAATTAATTTTTTAATATGTATCCTACATGAATAAATTTCAATCCCTTAAACCTAGAAATATACTTTATAACTTGTGAAAAAGAAAGTTAGATAAATACCCATTTAGTGGAGATCATGACCTCTAGCCCATGTCTTCAAGTACTCTATGATCAATCACTCAATATAAGTGGTAATTTTGAATTTAGATTATTTTAAATTCAAAATTTTAAACTTAAAATAAAATCGATTTAAGTCTAAATTAATCTTTCAAGTCATTCTGATTCGAATCATTTTAAATTTAAAATAATTTAAGTTCGTTTTGTTTTTTTATTTTGAGTCATTTTGAGTTTAGGTTGGACAAATTCAAATTCAAGTCATTTGATTATTTCGAAAGAGTTAAAAATTTTATTAAATTATAATAAAGAGTATTTTTATTATTTTATCACTTATTCTTTTATTATTTCAATACTATTCTTCCCACTCAAATATTGAATTAAAAATGAAATAAATTTTTTTTTTCATAAATCAAACAACATAATAACTATTTTATTCTTACTTTGTTCCACACTCACGTAATAATTTTTTTTTGTTCTCCTTTTATTTCATTTCACGAATTAAACATGTTGAAAGTAGGATAAGACATAGATTACACAATGATAGAATAAGTTCTTTTATAAAAGATGATGGATTTTGTTTTGATTTCATATGCTTTGTAGAAACCAAGTGGGGGTTTGCATGATTACCCCATTTGATATCATATGCTTTGATTTCAGACAAAAGTGACGTGTACTCATTTGGAGTTGTTTTGTTTGAAGTTTTGTGTGAGAGACTGGTGTTTGATTTAACATTGGACAAGGATGAACAATATCTATCTAATTGGGTCCATCAGTGCATAGTTGAAAAAACCATTTATAATAGGTAAAAAATCTATCCAATCTTTGTATTCTTCAATTTTATTTAATTTAATCTCTGTATTTAAAATTAAAATAATTTAGTTTTTTGATTTTGATAATTACGTCAATTTAGTCTCTTGTTTTTGCATCTTGCTTCAATTTAATCTTTCTTCCTAATGACATTCAATTTTGTCATTAAAGGATGATGTCGGTGCTGACGTATCATATATTTTATGATGTGGCATACCTCGTGGCATCGAGTGATGACGTGGCAATGCTATGTAGTACTATACAATGATGTGGTAGTGCTGATATGACGCTGACATGTTGACATGCTAACATGTCAATATGTCAGTGACACGTGACAAATAAAAAAAAAATTTTAAAAAAATTTTTACTACGTCATAAGGACTAAATTGAACAAAAATATATAATATAAAACTAAATTAAATAAAATTGAAATGTTAAATGACTAAATTGAAAAAAATATATAAAAATATAAATATTAAAGTAGATTATTGATATGCTTATTCATAAGCTAAATATTTAAATGTAAAAGATTTATGGTGTTAAAAAAAAATATATATATATATATATTTTCTTACTCGATTATTGGATTCTAGAATATGTAAATTAATTTATCTTTTTTACCAAAATTAAGTTTAAATTCTCCTTCTATAAAAATATTGAAAAAATTTTATACCTGAAGTCAAATTTAGAATAATAACTTATATTATGTTAAGATAAAATAACATAAAATGACTAAATAAATTTCTTTTTCTTTTATTTATAATATTATAAAAATTTAAAATTTATTTAACTTAGTTTTTAACTTGAATTAAAGTCAAATTAGTAAAATATGTTGATTTAGTTTTTTTTTTTAAAAAAATGAAGAATTGATACATAGAATTAGCGATGATTATAAAAATAATTTTTTATTTTGACTTGCTTAATTTGGACATGACAAACCTCTTA